AAAAATTCCAGGATAGAAATAGTTATCCAGAGCTCGAGGTCGGTAACAAACTTGCTGTTAGACGTAATAGTAAGCATTTGTTTAAGACTCACCGATTCTTTTTATTTCTCAGGAAATAGGATAACAGTATGTTCATGGTCCACAAATAATACACAGTAATGCAGTTTGACCTCAATAATTGGAAGTTGGAACCTCTGCAAGTTAAAAACCTCCCTATATCAAATTTTTGAGACCCTATGTCTGAATTTGCTTATAAATAATACATAATAATCATCCATAATTAAATACTGTACTTTCTTTCTAAAAAATTCCAAAATTCCTGGTTCTTTTGGGCTTTTTGTGGGCAGTATCCTTGTTATTCATGAATATCAGGTTAGAGGAATACAATGTAAGTGTGACTTATTGATGCTGTTAAAAAGGAACTGATGGACTAACTAGGCAAATTAACTGTTCCCTCAGAACACATCTAATCAACTGATTTATTCTGCAGTTTAAAGTCCAAACAAACTTGAATTTCATTTTTTCCTATCATTTTTTGTTTACTGTATTTCATATCTGGCAAAAGTGACTGTTTCTCTATAATATGAAACCCACATAAGTAAACAAATTTCATGCATGGTCCATTGAAATTTGACTTGAAGAGGTACAACTGCATGGATATTGATATAGACTCTCACCAAATATCTGGATGATCAAAGGGATGGATGAGATACAACTTTCCCTGACTCTCTTCCACAATTGAAAGGAGTTTGGCATGGGCCTCATCCCAGTTTTTCCCATGCAACTGCGGATATGAACAATAACAGCCACTATATTGAAAAGACCCTCTAAAGTCTAATTTATTGTCTAAAACAAAAACTTGGATCTGTAAAGAAGAAAAGAGCTTACAATGACTGTGGACTTCTCTCCTGCTGCCAAGGCATTCACCACAAAGGCTGGAGTTGATGTTGGCAGACACACTGTGTAAGGCACACCCAGGACCTGAGCAGAATAAGCCACTGCATAGGCTGCATTGCCTCCAGAGGAAGTGCAAATTCCTGTTGCTCCATTTGCAACAGCCTGTGCTTGTACAATACAATGAAATACAAGACAAGAATTGTGACAATTATCAACACCAGAACCTTGCAACAAAAAACAATCAATGCAAGGCAAGCAATGCTTATACATAATGCAGAACTGCATGGAAACTGTTCAGCATAGACATAAAGTACCAGTGGATTCACTCTCAATTTCTACAATGACCTTGTCTACAGCAATTTTCACTGTACAACAAATTTGTGTGTGGTCCNATTTTAAGGCATTTTTATTCAGGCTTGAAGCCTCTATACTGTATACTGTATTGGCAAAAATAATTGTATTACTGTAGTTGTGTGTAAGTTTCACTATGGTACTGTATACATGCAAACTGTATCCCTGAACAGTATTACTGCTTTATTCATCTTGAAAAGTAGATTCAAATCAAAACTATTATTTTATTTGTTTATGCGCTGTGCAAACCAACAAATAAATACTGTATGTATGTTCATGGTCCACAAATAATACACAGTAATGCAGTTTGACCTCAATAATTGGAAGTTGGAACCTCTGCAAGTTAAAAACCTCCCTATATCAAATTTTTGAGACCCTATGTCTGAATTTGCTTATAAATAATACATAATAATCATCCATAATTAAATACTGCCCTTTCTTTCTAAAAAATTCCAAAATTCCTGGTTCTTTTCGGCTTTTTGTGGGCAGTATCCTTGTTATTCATGAATATCAGGTTAGAGGAATACAATGTAAGTGTGACTTATTGATGCTGTTAAAAAGGAACTGATGGACTAACTAGGCAAATTAACTGTTCCCTCAGAACACATCTAATCAACTGATTTATTCTGCAGTTTAAAGTCCAAACAAACTTGAATTTCATTTTTTCCTATCATTTTTTGTTTACTGTATTTCATATCTGGCAAAAGTGACTGTTTCTCTATAATATGAAACCCACATAAGTAAACAAATTTCATGCATGGTCCATTGAAATTTGACTTGAAGAGGTACAACTGCATGGATATTGATATATACTCTCACCAAATATCTGGATGATCAAAGGGATGGATGAGATACAAGTTTCCCTGACTCTCTTCCACAATTGAAAGGAGTTTGGCATGGGCCTCATCCCAGTTTTTCCCATGCAACTGCGGATATGAACAATAACAGCCACTATATTGAAAAGACCCTCTAAAGTCTAATTTATTGTCTAAAACAAAAACTTGGATCTGTAAAGAAGAAAAGAGCTTACAATGACTGTGGACTTCTCTCCTGCTGCCAAGGCATTCACCACAAAGGCTGGAGTTGATGTTGGCAGACACACTGTGTAAGGCACACCCAGGACCTGAGCAGAATAAGCCACTGCATAGGCTGCATTGCCTCCAGAGGAAGTGCAAATTCCTGTTGCTCCATTTGCAACAGCCTGTGCTTGTACAATACAATGAAATACAAGACAAGAATTGTGACAATTATCAACACCAGAACCTTGCAACAAAAAACAATCAATGCAAGGCAAGCAATGCTTATACATAATGCAGAACTGCATGGAAACTGTTCAGCATAGACATAAAGTACCAGTGGATTCACTCTCAATTTCTACAATGACCTTGTCTACAGCAATTTTCACTGTACAACAAATTTGTGTGTGGTCCAATTGGACACTCTCCCCATGTTACAGTGGTTCTCTGCAAAGAAATTCTTGTTGCAATTTTTTTTTTCATTTGGTCCTTTGAGCTTTGTTTTATAGAGAGTCCACTTGTATTTATAAAAAAAATTCCCATTGAAGAAAAAGGCATTTCAGTCAATTTTTCTGAAAATAATTTGGCAATTAAAAGTTCTTTTTAAACATTAGAGCCTGATTTTGAAAGCTTTACAGCATATAGGGAGAATGGTCTTATTCATTTTCAATGTTCTGAGCTGATGAGTGAAAACTAAAGTACCATGTGGTATAAGATGTCATAGATTGGTTTCATTTCATCAAAAAGCAGAGAGAATGACAACTAATATAGCTTCAACTCCACCAAGAACATATTGAGAAAAGCTTTCATAGACTGCAACCCCATTTGAAGCAATTTTAGTTTGCCTTCAAGTGCTCATAAATATAATTTTTCTTCATGCACGAAGTTTTCTTTTAGAAATTCTGCTCAATATTATGAATGGAAACCACACAAATACAAAACTGCTGACCTTGGAAGCAAGATACCCAAGTCCCCTGAGTTTGAAAGATCCAGAGGGCTGCATGTTCTCAAACTTGCCAAACACCTTCAAGTCTCTTCCAGCTGCAGGCAAGTACTTGTTGGCAAATGCCAGCCTCAAAAATGGCGTCTCAATGTGCAGATACTCTCTTCTTTTACCCGTCATTGTCAGCACCTGCTCACTTTGCACTCTTTAATGATGATGCTGATTGATTGATTGATTATGTTCTCACTGAACTTCTTTTAGCTTCCTGCAGATCTTAAAACATGCACTGGGCTAAAATTTTCCCATGCAGATAAAAAAGAAGGAATCTTTCTATTGATCAAAATGAATGCTTCTTAATCACATTTTCAAGATGCTGTTTGTCATTCAAGTCAAGTGAGAGATGGTTTTCAAGCTGAGCTAATTAAATTATCTTGTTCATTGGGTCAAATGCTACCAACAATACATATTGCCTATACAGTCTCCTGGTGAAGATTTGAAAGATAATTTACTCTGCCTTTTTTCAAAAATGTAACTTTCTATATACTGTACTCTTTTCTTAATATTGGCAAAGTTTTCTGACATTTAACCTATTTAGATGAAGCTAAGCTAAGCGTGCATCAACAATTCCCATGCCTACATAAAATTTAAGAATCCAAGCATTAACATGCTTTTTTGCTTCAAAATTCAACTTGCAAATTAGATATGCCCCTTGAATACAAATATATGTATGTGGGGTGATTTGAATTTTTCAATATGATTAGATAACACTGTAAATTGCTACACTAATTGAAATTAAAATGATGTGTGAAATACTGACATTTTGGGATAAGACTCAAAATGGAGGAGGCCTAAATCAGGCATCAGGTTTGTGAAATCATTTTATATTTTTTAAATTTTTTAATGAATATCTATAAATGACATTTGTTCAGCAGCATTATTTATAAATATAAACGTTTTTAAAAGTAACCCACATAAAAAATGACCCCTTTTAATAACCATTGATCTTTGCATTCCTGCTTAATTTTCTTCACTCCACTCCCATTTTTGTCACTTCACTCACAAGAATCGTTTTAATAAATAGTTGCACTAAAAAAACTCTGATGAAAGATTTTTTAATTTGTTGAAACCACAAAAAAGTATAATAAGCAAGTGTGTCACTCATTCAATACATCTTGAACAGTATAATAACCAGCAAGAGCACCCACATATACAAAGAGGTTATTCATGATTTTTAGCTAGCTCCTTCTGATTGAATGTTTCTCATCAGTTCATCAAACCACCATGAATGAAAAAAAAAAAAAACCTGTTCCAACTCCCCAGACAAGACCCATCCAGTCACTGACTGAATCAGTGTAGGATATGACAGTGAATGACTGGGGGTTTATTTTTTTTTTTTTTTTAGAAAGGAGACACCAAAGCAGCAGCAGAAGCAGCATCAGTAACACAAACACACACAGAGTCCCTTTCAAGGGCAAGGGATTTATTGATCCACAAGTCAGATAATTCTGTCTCTGCATGTTCCCTGGTGCTGTTGTAAGAATAATAATAATAATAATAATAATAAGCTGCTTGAGACCTGCTGGTGATGAGGGTCAGGTTCATGGTGTTTCTCTGGTTCTTTGTGTCCTTTGTATAAACGGCTATGATGCAAGTTCATCATATTCGATTTTCAGTAGGCATTGAAATGCTGAAGGTGTTCAAATAATATAATATCATGCTAACATATTTTTCAAAATTCAGCCCAACAAACAAACTTTTGGGAGTTTTCTTTCAATTGCAATTGGCAACATTTTGATCCAAAAATTGTGTATTTTGTATGTGAAAAGGAAAAAATACTATATCATTTCTTACTCACTTGGTCACTTCTGGCATTGAAAGAAACTGTTGTAGAAAATAAATAGCAGGTGGAATGATGTTTGTTTCTGCTTTGTCAAATCCCTCCCCCCCCCCTCTGTCTTGCTCAAAAACTTGGTTTCTTTTTCACTACAATGTTCTGATTTGGTTAGAACACATTTGGGTTTCAATAATTTTCGCTCATGCGAGATTTCAAAGAATGGGTCTCCCTTTTTTACAATAATTTATTCATGATGAAATATATATGAAGATCAATAATTTTCTGTGGAGTAATGATGGATTTCACATTAATTTTCCAAAAAATAGATTAAGAACCGTTAAACAGAGATATAATCGACAACAACAAACGGGACTGCATTTCCAACAATAACTTATTCCGCCAACAGAAGAAGAAGAAAAAGAAATCTGCTGGAAGAAAACAATCATGACGGACAAACACAGCGCGTACGCGGAATAGCTACTAGCGACATCTCGTCGTCAAAGATGATGATGCCCAACGGCTTTCTTTCCAATAAAGAAAGAAGAGTCCCCTCTTATTGTCGTCCTTATATATTGAACCCCCCGACGGCTGTCTTATTAGACCAGGATGGGCCTGTCCAACACATGCAACACTCCTTGCGTTGTTGGGACATCGCCGGCCACAAGATCGGCCAACTCGTTGCCAGCCTCGTCACTGATGACGTAGCCCTTGTCTGTGTGGATATAAAGTAAAGNAGCCTCGTCACTGATGACGTAGCCCTTGTCTGTGTGGATATAAAGTAAAGCAAACCAATAAAATAACCCCCACAAAAAAGGTGGGCAATATACTATAAAATCTTTGAGGGTTTGGTTTGGTAAAAAAAATAAATAAAAGAGTTGATACAGTAATACTAAGAAACTCTTCTATCCTGATGAGCTTGCTTATTTCAAGTCGATTTCGATTGGCCAAGAAATTTATTTCGAGTCTTTATCAAGCATATGCTGAAAGTGCATGAATGCATTCATACTGCTACTTCTGAACAGGATCAATTCATTATATAACCACTCATGAATGCTTGAATTATGTTTACCAGTATCAATTAATATGATGCAAACCTTTCTTTGAAGAAAAAAGGAGCAGCAGTGTAGAAAAATCTTTTTTGGTATACAGTATTATCCATCATAATTGTTCCCCCTTTTTGTTTGAATAATTACTAGCTAAAATAACCATCAGAAAGTTTCATCTGCTGCTCAAATAATATTTAAAAGAAGAAAATCACAAAAGGATCATTCTGGGGCAAATTCCATGGACTTTTGAATATGACCTTTTGTCCATCATGTTATTGTTATTGTACATATACAGCTTATATATATACAGCAGAATCTTGTTACAACAAATCTTATTCGTTTAAAAAAAAGATGCCTACAAAAAATAATGTGTTTTCAGTCCCTGTCCTTAAATAAGCAAATAAAATTTACTGCATAATATTTTTATACAACAGATTAACCCTTTTTTAAGATCCAAAATTCTTTGAGGTAACACTATATTCTACTCTTATTGTATGTGGACAAGAATGCAGATTGGAGAAAAAAGAGGCCAAACTATATATAGTACCTGCTGTGAAGGACACAACCAAGTTGTTTCCATTGAGGGTGGTGAAAGTCTTGCTCTCCCCAATGCCAATGGAGAAGATGGAGCCATCAACAACATGGTCCAAGAGAATCGCAGCCACAGCTTCTGGGTCTTCCAGCAAAGAGTTGACAATGTCCACAGAGAAGTTCTCTGAGTCCAGTGGGGCCAGCAGAGTCACATCAGTGGCTGTATTGTCAATACATAAACAAGTTGGTGCATAAATAATGTAGGTCATTCAATCATATACACTGTGTATAATATTTCACAGTGCTGTACTAGCTTCTCTCTCAGAGAATCCATTAAAGGGATGAGGACAGTTATAATAATGTAGAAAGCATGAAAAGGCTAAAAAAGGTCTTTCCTAAATCTGATGAACAACATTACTCCAATTAAAATTTGAATGGTACTCAACAAATGTGGTAAATTGGAATGTGTACCAAATATACTGTACTTCCTTTCAATTGTTTTTGTGTTTAATTAGAGTTGTTAGACCCTCACCACCCTGGATGGTCTCCAGGAGGTTAGCACCAATGGCAGCCGTAGTCAAAGCCTCAAATGTGGCCCCAGGCAAAGAAGAGAGGGTGCCAACAAAGTCTTGAGTGGGAATGTTGAATGTACTAGCTTCTCTCTCAGAGAATCCATTAAAGGGATGAGGACAGTTATAATAATGTAGAAAGCATGAAAAGGCTAAAAAAGGTCTTTCCTAAATCTGATGAACAACATTACTCCAATTAAAATTTGAATGGTATACTCAACAAATGTGGTAAATTGGACTCAGTACCAACTATGTATACTTCCTTTCAATTGGTTTTGTGTTTATACAATCTGGGAGTGGTGGGACCTACCAGAGGTCCTCCAATCGTGGTTACCGTCGGCATCAGTTTCGGAGTTTACACCGGGGTCCGTTTCTTCTCTCCCACGGTTGTTTCAGAACTCACCCTTACAACTGGATGACAAAATCCAGAAGGTGCACAAGTCCATTTCCAGCATCAATATCAACATTGGCCTCTAGTTAACCGTGAGGTCAGTGACGACGGTGGACTACACTTTCAAACTTACAATCGACAAAAAAAATCCTTATGGGAGATATATTTGGTAAAAAAACCGTGTCTATGTGTTATGGTTTTTTTTTTTCTATGAAACCAATAATAAAAAGACAATCACTGTAAATTCCTCCAATCCCAGTCCTCAGTTACATTTGCATTTTAATAATATATATAAAACAGCAGGAAATGAATAAATGAAGAAAGTTGCATGATAGTATAGTAGTGTACTCACTGTTGTACCAGCAACATCATACAGGTTGACGCGCAATTGACTTCCTTGGAGTGTTGGCAACAAGAGCTCATTGCTTAGAGCAGATGATGGGAATTCCCCATCTCCCACATGATACAAAAGTACCTGTCAGAAAAATAAATAAATGTATCATTTCTAAATAACTATAATGTGTTGCTCCAATAATAAGACTTGTTTCCAAGTGCAAGCACTTCTTTGATAGGTAGTAAATATTTCATATGTCCAAGTATCAATATAGCCAATATTCTTGCATCAAAAAAAAAGAACAACCTAAAGAACCAATGCTGATGAGCCATGTTAGCCAAAAACTGTAGTTATTTCACTTCTAATAATATACACAGGCTACTGTAGGTGCCCAGCCATACAAGGGAATCAAAATTTTCACAATTTTTAGGGAGTTTGAATTTATATAATCAATTGGGATCATTAATTTTTTTTTCAGTTTTGCCATACAAGTCTAAATTTTCTTAAAAATAGGGTTTTTTATTATCAAAAATTTCCAAACTGATTATATAAATAAGTCTATTTAGCATAATTTAGAGCTGTGTTCCCAAATGGAAGACCACTGACCTCTCTGAGCAGGTCCAGGTCACTGGTGATGGCATCAATCACTTCTTGAGGCAGACTATCAAACACCTCTTGTTTGGGCAGGAACACTGTGAAGGGTCCTGTGTTGTTGGCACAACAAAAAATGTGTTTCTTACATTTTATGAACATCAGTATTTATAATACTCTATTCTCCTTGTGATTCCACATAATACTTATTCACTCAAAGGCATAATACAATTTTGAGTCTATATACCAGGTTCACTGTGTCATAATCTAAAACAATATGTTAGATCATGGATCCTTCCATATTATTCATTCTCACCATTTTGCTTTCATAATTCTCAGAAGAAGTTTCTTTGAGGCTCAGCCCTTTTTCTGATGTACCAAAATTTTACTTGTACAAATTTCTCATCACAGAAAAATGAATTCACCAAGGCAGTTCTTCCATTACACCATTAGAATGATTCAAAATTGGAAACCAAAACTCAGATGAACTCAAAATATTACATTTTGTGACAAAACTTTTGTCAGCATATTGATGTGAGAGCATTGTTACAGTATATTCATTTTTGAATTTAAATCATTGCATAATTGATGAGCCTGAACAGCATGGGCTACAATAAGCTGTCTGAGCTAATATGCTTTTTGAACCACCAGAAAAAAAACATAAGATGAAAAATTAAATAAATAAACAAGTTTCTGTCATACCTAAACTGTATATACATTAGCAGTGAGAACATGTAAATTGGTATGTTGTTGATCTTTTAGTGTTTGGAAGCAACATTTATTGAGATCCCTAAAGTTGAAGTGAAATGTAACAGCTTATTCACCTGTGCTATTATTGATAATTTAAAAATGGTGTAGTGTAGCCTGTGCATGGCAGTGGTTCACAACCTGTGTTCTATACAGACTGCAAATAGCAGTTGAAATTATCTGATGAAAAATAAAATTTGGATTTTCTCCTACTATCACACTTCTGACAAATTTTTACCTACGCTGAAATAAATTATTTTAGTTTTTCATTCTGAGAAACCGTTCTTTAAGCCCACCTTCCTAATTCCTTTCATTATGTAAGTCTTTCAAGCAAAGCCTTTTTTGAGTCCAAACAATTTTTCTTTGGAAATTAGCCAGCCCAGAGACTCACAAAGGTTGGGGGACACTGGTGTATATATAGGGGAACCTTTTGAAGGTCCTTATAAAAAAATTTGCAGCAGGTTAATTATTCTTTGTTTACCCCTTTATATGAACCTGAAAGGAAGAAGACCCACTTTTCTAAAACTGAGAATAATACACCTTTATTTGTTACTCATCTTAATTTTCAATGAAGAACCCTTTCAGAGTCTGTATCAGCAATGACTTATTCAGTGATGATAAAAATGAAGACTTATTGACAAATGGAATACATTTATTTTTGCCCTTTATTTCATATAGAAAGAAGCCAGCATATTATAGTGATTCAATAAGTTGCTCACCAGGTCCTTGCAAGGCCTCAGTCAGTCCAGTTTGGTCCAAGAGGCTCAAGATGGTTTCTTGGCCAAGTTCGTTCAGGACATCAATGACTGTTGCCTGGAAAGAATTTGATATTTTCAACTTTCCAACCCTTCGCAAAAAAATTATTTATTTAAAAAAAAGATGATTCTCACATGGCCAACTGATGCTGCAGCCAACACAGTGAAAATCGTGGCAATCAACTTTGCGTGAACCATTTTGTGCGTTAATGTATATGTGTACCCTCTGGAATTTTGTTCTGTCCTGCAAAAAAAAATAAAATAAAATGACAACACATTACGCAATAGAAAGATGCACGAATGTAGTTCTAATTGAGGATACTGAAGATTTGCTCGAATGTGGCGAGTGTATTTATAGTCCAAATATTCACGGCAAGTGTGAATCAGACAGTATATGTAATTCTTGCCAAAATTCGTATTTCTACACATTTTCTCGCTTATCTTTCCGCCGCAGAAGAAAAAGAAGCGTTTGTAATAATAGTAGTAAAGGGAAAAATTATTCAGCATTAATTTTTTGGGGGGACAGTTGTTGACGATTCCGAGCGGATTTCGTTCCCCGAATTTTATGACCGATAAGAGAAAAATGTTACACAACGCTTTTAAGTGGGCTGCTTCCGTTTTATTTGTGGGTCATACAATATACAGTATTTGATAAACCTGTATATGTATATTTGCACTATAAATAAACTTGTGTATACATTTTTTTAATTGAATACTGAAAAATATCTCTTCCATAAAACACCAACTAAAAATTATATAATGTAAGTCTATGGGAAAATGAGACTCAACTGAGGGACATTCTGATTTCTGCATCTGCGGTGGGTGGTCTCACTGTTTATAATAGAGCTGAAGGCATATACAAAACAAACAAAAAAGTGATTGTTATTTAACCATTTTTTTTTTGCAGTGATGAGAGATTTGCATATATAGAATTGATCAACAGAGTCAGGTGCCTCTTTCATAATCTCTCCCATTATTGGACAAAATGAGACTTCTGCTGTGTACCATACAATATACATCCAGCTCTTATTGCTGTTGAATCCATCCAAATTCAGTCTGAAAAGAGCAAAACATGAATTATTCTATATATTTCTGTGTTTTTTCCTTCAATTAGTCCAACAAGTATTTCCCAGAAACCAGTCTTTCATTTCCTGTAATTTTCACGCACCCATTTGTTATTCAAAGGTCTTTGGAGACAAAGGGGTAGATAATTTCACCAAAAGCCTGGAATTGGGCCCTTTTTCACAGACCCTATCTTATTTGATGGTTCTCTTATCACAGTACTGTATCTCTAATTCAATCATACAAGGAGGTTCATGTGGTATACGTTAACTGAAAACCTTTCAACAAATTCCGGACATGAAACAATAAATTCTTATTCCTGCTGATGAATTGTACCAGGGAGACCCTGAGATGCGGACATAATTGGTGCATCAAGAGTGTCCCCAAGTTGAAATGTCCCAAAGTCAAGTCTTGTTTTCCCGTAGACTTACATTATATAATTTTTAATTGGTGTTTTCTGGAAGAAATATTCTTCAGGATTCCCTG